GAGAACAAGAAGAGGAGAAGGAGGAGATGGAGAAAAAGGAGGAGAAGGAGAAGAAAAGAAGAGGAAAAAGAAGAAGAAGAGGAGGAAAAAGAAGAAGAAGAAGAAGAGGAAAATGAAGAAGAAGAAGAAGAAGAAGAAGAAGAAGAAGAAGAAGAAGAAGAAGAAGAAGAAGAGGAGGAGGAGGAGGAGGAGGAGGAGGAGGAGGAGATCTAGAATTATCTGTAATTGATCTACCATTGTCTCTACAGCTGGGAGTTGCACAGAAGCGATCTAGTACACATCCAACGTTGTTTAGAGGAGATGTAGTATAACCGGGCTGGAGTGATCGCACAGCAGGTAGGGCGTTTGCCTTGCATGCGGCCAACATGGCCAGCTCGGGTTCGATTCCTCCGCCCCTCTCAGAGAGCCTGGCAAGCTACCGAGAGTATCTCACCCGCCCGGCAGAGCCTGGCAAGCTCCCCGTGAGGTATTCGATCTGCCAGACACAGTAACAACAAAGTCTCCAGTGGAGACGTTACTGGGCCCGCTCGAGCAAATCGATGAACAACGGGGTGGGGACAACAGTGTAACTGGTCATCTACATCCCTCGTGATGCTCTATGCAGCCCAGAAGACAGCGGGAATATCTCATTTGTCAGCCTGGCTTGTCCAACTTGTACCGGATCAACCTTCCCAGATAAATCCGGCATTCCTCTTCGAAAGTCATTGAGTCCTTTGTATCTCTCTCTTCCTCCCTTCTCTTTTTCCCTCCTTTTCCAGACGTCCCTCACGCCACACTCCACTTTCTGCCTTTCTATCAAGGCATATCTATACCCAGAATATTGATCCTATCTCCTACCATTAGGAGACAACGGGACCTGTCCGTAGAGCCTGCGCAAGTTGTCTCCTTCTGAAGAGATTTGAGCCACCATCACAAGACAAGCAGGACCAGCCAAGGCCATGAGTCCATCAGTCTCCCAGACAGCGGACGGGGGAACTCAGAATCCATAACTAAATCAAGAATCGGGCAGGTCAAAGTTCGTGATGGGAAAACACGCTGAAAGTTCCTTCCTTTAGACCCTCGCGTCCACTTCGGTGAGCAAAGTCCACTCTGACGAGAGCTCACTCATGGCTTGCAGTGACACACGCTGACAATCGTTTCGATGGGGAATGACCACAGAAAGCCTCGTGGCCCGAGACTTAGCAAATAAATGTCTAATCGGTTCCTTCATGCGAGTTACTTTTCAATTCAAAAAATCTGTCGCCGCGGGCTGGAGCGATAGCACGGTGGGGAGGGCGCTTGCCTGGCACGTGGCCAACCCGGGTTCGATCCCCAGCATCCCATAGGGTCCCCCGAGCACCACCGGGAGTGATTCCTGAGTGCAGAGCCAGGAGGAAGCCCTGAGCATCACCTAGTGTGACCCAAAAAGCAAAAGAAAGGAAGGAGGGAAGGAGGGAGGGAAGGAAGGAAGGAAGGAAGGAAGGAAGGAAGGAAGGAAGGAAGGAAGGAAGGTCCATACAGATCCCAACATCACAGGAAAGAGAAAGAAAGAAAGAAAGAAAGAAAGAAAGAAAGAAAGAAAGAAAGAAAGAAGAGATAGGAAGGAAGGAAGGAAGGAAGGAAGGAAGGAAGGAAGGAAGAGATAGGAAGGAAAGAAGGAAGGAAGAAGAAAGAAAGAAAGAAAGAAAGAGAAAAAAGGAAGGAAGGATGAAAGAAAGAAACAAAGAAAGAAAGAAAGAAAGAAAGAAAGAAAGAAGAGATAGGAAGGAAGGAAGGAAGGAAGGAAGGAAGAGATAGGAAGGAAAGAAGGAAGGAAGAAGAAAGAAAGAAAGAAAGAAAGAGAAAAAAGGAAGGAAGGATGAAAGAAAGAAACAAAGAAAGAAAGAAAGAAAGAAAGAAAGAGAGAAAGAGAGAGAAAGAAGAGATAGGAAGGAAGGAAGGAAGGAAGGAAGGAAGGAAGGAAGGAAGGAAGGAAGGTCCATACAGATCCCAACATCACAGGAAACAGAAAGAAAGAAAGAAAGAAAGAAAGAAAGAAAGAAGAGATAGGAAGGAAGGAAGGAAGGAAGGAAGGAAGGAAGGAAGGAAAAGAAGGAAGAGATAGGAAGGGAGAGATAGGAAGAAAAGAAGGAAGAAAGAAAGAAAGAAAGAAAGAAAGGATGAAAGAAAGACAGAAAGAAAGAAAGAAAGAAAGAAAGAAAGAAAGAAAGAGAGAGAGAGAGAAAGAAGTGATAGGAAGGAAGGAAGGAAGGAAGGGAGGGAAGAGATAGGAAGGAAGGGAGAGATAGGAAGGAAAGAAGGAAGGAAGAAGAAAGAAAGGAAGGAAGGAAGGAAGGAAGGAAAGAAGGAAAGAAGGAAGGAAGGGAAGGAAGAGATAGGAAGGAAGGGAGAGATAGGAAGGAAAGAAGGAAGAAGAAAGAAAGAAAGAAAGAAAGAAAGAAAGAAAGGAAGGAAGAAGAAAGGAAGGAAGGAAGGAAGGAAGGAAGGAAGGAAGGAAGGAAGGAAAGAAGGAAAGAAGGAAGGAAGGGAAGGAAGAGATAGGAAGGAAGGGAGAGATAGGAAGGAAAGAAGGAAGAAGAAAGAAAGAAAGAAAGAAAGAAAGAAAGAAAGAAAGAAAGGAAGGGAGAGGAGAGGAGAGGAGAGGAGAGGAGAGGAGAGGAGAGGAGAGGAGAGGAGAGGAGAGGAGAGGAGAGGAGAGGAGAGGAGAGGAGAGGAGAGGAGAGGAGAGGAGAGGAGAGGAGAGGAGAGGAGAGGAGAGGAGAGGAGAGGAGAGGAGAGGAGAGGAGAGGAGAGGAGAGGAGAGGAGAGGAGAGGAGAGGAGAGGAGAGGAGAGGAGAGGAGAGGAGAGGAGAGGAGAGGAGAGGAGAGGAGAGGAGAGGAGAGGAGAGGAGAGGACCAAATCCCTGACACAATGGGTGGAGAGGCATTGCTCACAGATGTACCAACACACAGTTCCCAAAGAGCCACCAGCTCAAGTGCAGTATCCCCAGGTTATTAAGGACGGATTCTACCACATCACCCCCTCGCAGGACAGTTAGACCCAAACAGCGCCCTGAAACCCTCAAACTCGCTTGCTTGTCTTCCTGTTCCCAAGAAGTAGCGTCTTTCCCAAGTTCTCCATTCCGGATTCCCTGCTGCATACTGGACCCCCGAGCACGCCATGTGTCGTGTCTGATGTCTCGGGACAAAGGCAGCTCACGGATGGGTCTATCCTCAGTGCCTTTGAGGACGTTGCTGTTGGGTCCAACCTCTCACCTGTGCAAGACTCTGCTCGGACGTGACTTCACCATCCCGACGGGCAGCGGAGGAAGGTTCACGCTCGCTCGGGAGAGGTTGGAGAGATGTCGATCCACTCTGCCCTTCCTCCCCCAGATTTCCTTCCCCACCCACTTTGCTCTGTGTGCCCTGCATCTTGCATTTGCAGAGCTCATCGTGACCGAGAGCCCCGTGCGCTGGGTATGTGTGTGGGTATGTGTGTGTGTGTGTGTCTGTGTGTGTGTGTGTGTGTGTGCGTTCATTATAACGAGGCGGGTAGGATACAGAGATGCCACCCCAGATTCCACGGCCTCTTTGGGCTTCTTTTCTCTGGACATACTCTGCGATCTCACTCACAGGCAACCCTGCCCTGCCTGACGTGTCACGGTACCCTCCATGGACAGCTGCTGAGGGAAAGGACCATATGGCCAGTGATCTGGGCGCCCTGGAGGTCAGCCTGGGAGGAAACTGCGCACGACCCTGTGTAGATATCTAGTTAACTGCCGGGAGACTCTTTCTGCACACCGTTTTCCAAGGTGAGGTGGCGACCAAGACAGGTCTCCATCCAACGTTACCCAAGGACTGGAGCGATAGTACACCGGAGAGGGCGTTTGCCTTGCATGCAGTTGAGATGTATTTAATCCCCGGCATCCCATTATGGTTCCCTGAGCACCGCCAGGAGCAATTCCTAACTGCACAGCCAGGAGGAACCTCTGAGCATCGCTGGATGTGACCCAAAAAGCAAAAATAAAAACAGTTACCCAAAAGTTAGAGGTACAGTGATAGTCCAGAGTGAGCAGGGTTTTTGCGTTGCATGTGACCAAGCCAGATTCCATCCCTGGGAGCCCGCCAGGAATGATCCCTGAGCACAGAGCCAGGACTAAGGAAGCCGTGAGCCCCCGCTGGGTGTGACCCCCAACAGAAAAACAAACACGTGACCCTCCCAAGGACACTTCTGGTTTTCTGCCTGGAGGTCTGATCTTGGAGACAACTGTCCGGGTTCCAGGCAAAGGCGGGTGAGCTCGTTCCCCTGGAGGGGAAATTTGATTCTAGGGAAATAATGTTGTCGGACACCCTCACGGATGCAGACAGTTCCAACCAGTGACCTTGGAGGGTCGCGCGGACACCAGTGGAACACTGCGCCCCGTGGTTTCACCGAAAAAAGAAGAATAAGACCCTTTTGGACAAGCGACCACACACCGCTTCATGACAGACTCAGTTCCAGCTCACGATCCCACCACTTCCAGCCCTGTCACGGGTGCTCTTGCATTTGCAACAAAAGTCAGGTGCAGTGTCTCCTGGCCACGAAGAGACGGGACACTTTGACCATTTCAGGAAGGAAAATGACTCGCTTATCTCGGCGGGAAACCAGCCGCCCGGTTACGCTCAAGGCTCCAACAGGAAAAACACAGTCACACCCGAAAGCAACCGACACAGCCCAGGAGCCTGGAGGATGCTCGCAGGTGTGCCTGGATATTACGGTCCAGAGATGTCTACGTAACCATCACTCGAGAAACGGTGCTGGACTAACTAACGGTTGCCGAATAACATAAGCTATTATTATCATCGCAGGCTCTAAAGAGGTTCCTCTAAAGAGATTCCGGTGCGATGCAGAGCCGGGAGGGAATAGCCAAATATTAACCTGCCTTTTTCTGGTTGTTTCAAAGTACAAACGGACGGAAGGAAGACTCGGCACCGTGTGAGAGCCAACCGCCCTTCTCGGGCGAACACCATCGACACGAGGCGGCATCCGACCGGGTACTCACCGTCCTCCGTGGGCACGTAGATGTTCAGGTACAGGCAGTCCTCGTTCTGGTCCTGGACGTACGTCATTAAGGTGTCCAGGTTGGCAGTGAACCAGATGGGCAGCATGTCGTGCAAGAGAGAGCGCTCGTCCAGGTGCTGGGGGCACACGGAGGGGAACTGCGTGGCGTTACGGACGCCGGTCCAGGAGGACGGGGGTTCGGGGGGCTGGAAGCGCCTCTCCCCGGTGGGCGGGGAGGCGTAGGGCACGCCCAGGTACTGCTCCACCGGGCCCAGGATCTCGTTGGGCAGCGGCGTGCGGAGTCCCCGGATCTTGCCGTAGTTGGTGTTGACCACGGGGTACTGCGCCTGGCCGTCGAGGAGCGTGAACTTGATGGCCAGGGCCGTGAGCCACAGGAGAACGTTGCAGTTGAGCATGACGCAGAGTGGGGTGAAGACCAGCGGCACCCATAACAAGCCCTTGGGCGTCGACATGGTCAGGGCCACATCTGCGGGCCTCGGGGCGGGCGGCGACTCCGGCTCGCGACACAGTGGCCGGTTCCGCGCAGGCTCAGACACAGAGCCCACGGTCAGGGCCGGACCCAGACGTGAAGTTCGTGGGGGCCCATGGCGTGGGGGCGGGGAGGGTGGGCCGCAGCCCAGCGCTCAGGCCAACTCCGGCTCCGGGGATGGGGGGACGGTCCACGGCGTCCCACGCACGCCCGCACGCACGCAGGCACGAGGGTCCTCACAGCTGGGCCACGGGCCGGAGCTCGTCCTGGGGGAGAGAGAACAGAGACGGGGCTGAGGAGTGGCGTGAAGGGAGCTCGGGGGACGCGCCCCGTCCCCCCTCCACGCCCCGGGTCCCGGAGGCACGCGAGGAGATGCACGCGGGGAGGTCAAGGCCACCCTGGACCCCGGTGTTGAGAGAGAAGGACGGAGAGGGGTGGACGGAAGTGGACCGTGGTGGATGGAAGTGGACGGTGGGGGAGGGAAGTGGACAGTGGTGGAGAGAAGTGGACAGTGGTAGTGGGAAGTGGACAGTGGTGGACGGAAGTGGACAGTGGTGGAGGGGAGTGGACAGTGGTGCAGGGGAGTGGACAGTGGTGGAAGGGAGTGGACAGTGGTGCAGGAGAGTGGACACTGGTAGTACGAAATGGACAGTGGTGGATGGAATTGGACAGTGGTGGAAAGAAGTGGACAGTGGTGGAGGGAAGTGGACAGTGCTGAAAAGAAGTGGACAGTGATGGAGGAGAGTGGACACTGGTGGAAATAAGTGGACAGTGGTTAAGGGAAGTGGACACTGGTGGACAGAAGTGGACATTGGTGAAGGGATGTGGACAGTGGTGCAGGGAAGTGAACACTGGTGGTGGGAAGTGGACAGTGCTGGACAGAAGTGGACGGTGGTGGAGTGAAGTGGACAGTGATGGTGGGAAGTGGACACTGGTGGAAAGTGGACAGTGGTGGACAAAAGTGGACAGTGGTGGAGAGCCGTGGACGGTGGTGGAGGGAAGTGGATAGTGGTGGAAGGAAGTGGACAGTGGTGGACAGAAGTGGGCACTGGTGGATGGACGTGGACAGTGGTGGACAGAAGTGGGCAGTGGTGGAAGGAAGTGGACAGTGGTAGACGGAAGTGGATAGTGGTGGAGGGACGTGGATAGTGGTGGTGGGAAATGGACAGTGGTAGAGAGAAGTGGACAGTGGTAGTACGAACTGGACAGGGGTGGAAATGAGTGGACAGTGTTGGAGGGGAGTGGACACTGGTGGAGGGAAGTGGACCGTGGTGGAGAGAAGTGGACAGAGGTGGAAATAAGTGGATAGTGGCTGAGGGAAGTGGACACTGGTGGACGGAAGTGGACACGGGTGAAGGGACATGGACAATGGTGCAGGGAAGTGAACACTGGTGGTGGGAAGTGGACAGTGCTGGGAAGAAGTGGACAGTGGTGGACGGAAGTGGACAGCGGTGGAGGGGAGTGGACACTGGTGCTGAGCTTGGTGTCCAAACATTACATATCAACAACTTTGTAAACCACAGTTAATTTAAAAAAAAAAACATTCCAGCAAACTCTGTGGGACGTGGCACGTCTGATCCGGAACACAGCACGGGCCAGCGGCTGCCCGCTGGGCCAGGCAACAGGGGTCAGAGGGAGGACGGGTCGGACAGGACACAGTGTCCACCCAGGGTCTACACGCAGCATCCGGCAGAGCCACACCACAACCATGGCGAGGGGCAGGAGGAAAAAGTTCCCTGTGTCCACGCCGCAAAGCCTGTCCTGTCCCCAGCAGGAGGAGTCAGCGGCATCGGCAGTGAGTGGCCTCCGAGCAGACCCTCGTTCACTGTGACATTGTCATCGCGCTCTGGGGGATTCAAAGATCGCAAGCACAGGCGCCAATATTACAATCGAATCGTACAACAATTCAGATATTACAACCCCCGGGACAGTCCGGGACGGGGGGCTGGATGGGGCCACGATTTCCCGCCCGTGACACGCTCAAGCCCAAAGCCTCCAAGTCTTTCCCACCCGTCTGAGCCCCCAACAGAGGGGCAATCACAAGCAGCCAGGGACTCCACTCAGCCCTACACCGTGTCTCTTCTTTACGGACACAGTTCAACTCCGGACACAGTTCAACTCCGACAAGGTACTTGCTTTCCCTCTCTTTTTTTTTATTTCACCAGTGCTGGCTTTAAATATTTGGTACCCGGGCCAGCGGGATAGGGCAGTTGCCTTGTGCACAGCCTCTCTGCCCCGCCAGGATGGTCCTGGAGCATCGTCGAAGGTGGCCCCAATCCCCACCCCTGCAAACTGAAAGAAAATAAATATTTCCTGCTCTCCAGGAACTGTGTCCGGAGAAGATACAAGAATCAGAAGCCAGGGGCCAGAGGGATAGGACAGAAAGGAAGGTGCTTACGCTGGTCACAGCCAGGCTGGGTTCAAGCCCTGGCACTCCATACAGTCCCCATGTGTGTGTGTATGTCGGTGTGTGTGTGTGTCAGTGTGTGTGTGTCGGTGTGTGTGTGTGTGTGTGTCGGTGTGTGTGTGTGTGTGTGTGTGTGTGTGTGTGTGTGGAGGGGGAGGGTAATGCTCATGTTCAGCCCGTCTCATGCCTCACCACAGCCTGGGTTCAATCCCCAGCATCCCATATGATCCCCGTGTGTGTGTGTGTGTGTGTGTGTGTGTGTGTGTCTGCAGGTGTGTGTAGGGGGAGGGTGTGTTCATATTTCAGCTCCATCACATGCCTCGTCATATCTGGACACACACACCCTCCCCGGGAACATTGGAACGATGCCCGGTTGGAGCACGGCTCCAGCAGAGAGGAGAGATCCAACCCGCCTTTGTGGTACCAACAAAACAAGTCTCCCGGGCAATTAATACAAGTGAGACTTCAAACACCTCTCCCGAGTTCCCAGTTCCCGGTATCAACGAGCAAACTCCTTCCCCAACACACCATCCTCACATGCTTCAGGGAAAGAGAGAAATATGAGGGCTGGAGCGATAGCCCAGCAGGGAGGGCGTTTGCCTTGCATGTGGCGAACCCGGGTTCGATTCCCAGCATCCCCTAGGGCACCGCCGGGAGTCATTCCTGAGTGCAGAGCCAGGAGGAAGCCCTGAGCATCGCCAGGTGGGACCCGAAAACAAAGGCAAAAACCAAAAAAAAGTGAAATAGATTCCAGAACCTTCCAGAATCTTCCAGAACATTCCAGTCTTGGGGGCTGGAGGGAGATAAGGAAGAACGAGTGTGTGCCTAGAACTGAACGTGGCTTCCCGACGTGAATCGTTGACACCCCACGCGAAATGCATCACCCAAAGCCAAGCACGTCAGCCCTGCGGATTGATTCTCCCTGAGCTCGCTGGGTGGAACCTCCCTGCAACTGACCCTGAGTCTCAGGCTCCTTGTGGAAGAGGAGCACCCGATGGGACACTCAACTAGCACCCAAGAAGAGTAGAGATCAGTACCAGGAGGGTCATTCTAATGGCCTGGAAGCCGGCCTCGCATGCGGGGGGCGGAAAAGGCAGCTCAGATAGAGAAGGGAGCACCAAGCAAAGGGTGCTGGGAGGACCCGCTCAGGATGGGAGATGCATGCTGAATGTAGACTCTGGACCGAACATGATGGCCACTCAATGCCTCTCTTGCAAAACACAGTACCCAAAAGGAGAGAGAGAACAAAAGGGAATGCCCTGCCACAGAGGCAGGGTGGGATGGGGGGGATGGGGGGTTGGGAGGGATACTGGGCCCCGTGGTGGTGGGAAATGGGCACTGGTGGGGGGATGGGTCCTCGATCGTTGTGTGACTGAAACGCAAGCACGAAAGTTTGTAACTATGTAACTGTACGACACGGTGATTCATTAATAAAATATTATTTTTTTATTAAAAAAAAAGATGGTTCGCTCAAGAACATCAAGAAAAAGGAATAAAACATCCTACGGGATATAGAATGACTCAAGACAGTAGAAACAAGGGCCAGGAGGACTGGGTCATGGCAGGAGGCTTGGAACGAGGGGGCCAGGGGTAGCGAGGGCAGTTGGGAGAGAGAAGGGACCACTATGACAATGCTAGTTGGAAATGGTCACTCTAGATGGGAACTGAGTGCTGAGAGGAGGGAGAGGAATATGCGTGATAACCTTTTGGTAACAGCACTGCAACCCATAATGCATAAAAGGTAAATGAGGTGAGAGAGAGATAGAGAAAGAGAGAAGAGGCAGGATGAGGGGGAGAGGAGGAAGGGAAAGGAAGAGGAAGATGAAGAGGAAGAGGAAGAGGAAGAGGAAGAGGAAGAGGAAGAGGAGTATCTGCCATAGACTCAGGCTGGGGGCAGGGAGTTGGCAGGAGGAAAACTGGGAACATTGGGGTGGTGGGAAATGTACACTGCTGAAGGGATGGGTGTTAGAACACTGTATGACTAAAAAACCCAGTCATGGACAACTTCGTAACTGCATATCTCACATCTTTGTAACTACGTATCTCACATCTTGGTAACTGCGTATCTCAAATCTTGGTAACTGCATATCTCACATCTTGGTAACTGCGTGTCTCACATCTTGGTAACTGCATGTCTCACATCTTGGTAACTGCGTATCTCACATCTTGGTAACTGCGTATGTCACATCTTCGTAACTGCATGTCTCACATCTTTGAGAGCTGGTTTGGAGATCCTAGCAGGGAAGTGCAGCTACTCGTGTACCCTCGACCAAAGACCAGTCCGTCTTTATTCGAGGAAGGCCTTCCTCTTGAACTGAGCACGAATCTTTGGGAGGGATGCACAAGGAGTGGATGAGGGAAGAAGGGGACAGCCGCCTAGCCAGCCAGATTGCCAAGATGTCTCAGGCAGATCACCCTCACATCCATATCTCACATCTTTGTAACTGCGTATCTCAGATCTATGTAACCGCTTATCTCACATCTTTGTAACTGCATGTCTCAGATCTATGTAACTGCGTATCTCACATCTTTGTAACTGCGTATCTCACATCTTTGTAACTGCATATCTCACATCTTTGTAACTGCATGTCTCACATCTTTGTAACTGCATGTC